TCTATCTATCTATCTATCTATCTATCTATCTATCTATCTATCTATCTATCTATCTATCTATCTATCTATCTATCTGCAAGCTAATTTGAATTTCTATTGAGAAATGCAGGGAATTACAATGTAAATTGCTAAGTAAAGGAGTTTTCAGATGCAGATCTTTCTGGATGGGGAGAGAGCAACAGGCTGATGTTGCAATCGATAGGAATTTTCTTGAATGTCATTTATTAATCCCTTTTATCAATCCCACTGATGCTATCATATATGTTCTAGTACTAGTGGTAGAAATTATCATGCCTAACAAAACTGATAGAAAGTTGTGGTTTTGTTTCCAGGAGCTGTGGAAAACAGATCATCATGATCCAAATAACATTTAAGTCTAGGGAAAGTTTGACAGGAATGTCAAGCATTAGCAAGTGTGTAGGTTTCTCTCAGTAGAAATCCATAGATCTGGGTTGAGAAAGAGATTACAGTAGGATCAGATCAAACATATTCTCATCAAGGTCAAAATTTCTGGTTGCAGATATATTTAAGATTCAGTGGCCCAAAGAAGAGAAAGAAAAGAAGGTGAGTAATTATGCATTCATTAGAGTTTCTGTATCATATCTGGTGATATCAAACTCTGCTATGACTAAAGTTACTAACTATTTTTCATCACTTTTGTTGTTTCTTGGATTACTTAACATGGCTACAAATGCTGAAATGATCACTAAACGGCAACATTAGTTTTCTGTATCTCTTTGCTGTCATCTAGTGGTTATCTGGAATTTTGCAGCCCAGATGTGGTAGCCCTATTATTACCCATTCATTTATTTTCACCTTCAATCTACAACATTAACTCTGAAATAAGCCCTGGTAAGGCTTACTTGCTAAAAAGGTTACATATGATGGCAACCTGTTAACTAGAAAAATTCAAGAGATGAAAAAGAGACTGGGAAGAAAAGGAAAAACTATGTAGGAAGTATCAGGTGAAGAGCTAAAAGAGTCCACAGTCTTTGAGGTTCTCTTTGATGATTATATCTGTAACAGCATCGAACACAAACTTAACATTCTGAGTGTCTGTTGCACAAGTCATGTGGGAGTAGATCTCCTTATCTTCTTTTTTGATGTTCAGGTCTAAAAATTGCTTCTTGATGTAATTTCCTGCATCTTCAAAAGTGTTTGGTCCTACTTGGAGAGAGACAAAAGGGATTGTTCATAAAATGTATTGGGCTCTAGAAGAACTTGTTCTTTTCTTACCACACAATGTTTCTGTTTTGGCATCAAGCAGATGTCCCTACCTTTCCAAAAGAAAAGGCATATTTTGATGGCACTATAATTCTCCTTTACTGGATGCAAGGAACCACTTTTTTGCAAAAGGGCATGAATCTGGTGCATGAATGTGATTCATTTTTTGATCGTGGTGGTGTAAGGTGATTATATCAAGAACAAGGCTTCATAATTTGCACCCTCCTAGTTGGATACATTTATTAAACAGTCAAGGGCTTAATAAGCTTGCTTGACCTGATTCTTTCCAATCAAAGAAAATAAGAGTGATATTTATTGTTAAGAGTGTATTTATTGGAGATGAGGAAAACTTTTATCACTTTTTTATTATGATGATAAGTGTCAAACTCCCTTATCATTTCAGATTGTAACCTACCTTTGCATCCCTCTCCCTATTCATTCATGATGCAATGTGAGTTATATATCCATTTTCCATATTTCTTCTGGGGTACCTAGAATCTCATGCTGGCTGGGGAATTCTGGGAGTTGGTCCACACATCTTAAAGTTGCTATAGGGGCTATAGTGGCACTCACGTCAAGGCCATGTAAAGGGGAAGAAGTCACCAGGACAAGGCCGTGTCCAGACATGATGGAATATGATCCAAGCCACAGGAGAATTTAGGAATCTATGAGATGACCTAATTTATACTATTACATTTTGCAGCTTGCTACCTATCTTGAAAGCAAGTTTCATAACTTTAGTCAAGTTGTGTCATGTGATCATGAGGATCAATGATTCAGATGTGGTGACCTCCATAGAATTTTGCCCAGAGAAGCCCAAAAAGCAAATGCATCAATTTACCATCATATTCTGGAAAGCAGACGTGGAGGTGGACTTTGGTGATTTTTTCTTGGAAGAGATCTTTCTTATTGAGAAATAGCACAATAGAAGTGGTAGCAAAGTATTTGTGATTACAGATGCTGCTGAAGAGATGAAGGCTTTCATGCATTCTATTCTGTTAAAGTGAAAAACAAGGTGGTTGTTAGATCTCATTACAGTCTGTCATTCCTGCTCTATGGCACTGCTCCTATTAAGAAAAAAAAAAGAGCCAGTTAGCTTCTTTGAGCTAATCAGAAAGGAAAATATGAGTAAGGATTTTAATGAAGCCAAGCGTATCCTTTCCACAGCATAACAAGCCCCTCCCTTTCTCACCCGACTCACCACTTCCTCATCTTCCACCAGGACCATGTCATAGGCACTAAGGGCTGCACAGAATATAATGCAGGTCACTCCTTCAAAGCAGTGAATCCACTTTTTCCTCTCAGATCTCTGTCCTCCCACATCAAACATCCTATGAAATGAATCTATGATTAACAAGATACTCACTTACTGTATTCCTGATGTTTGTTTTTAACACATTTCGGGGGGGGAGGGAGGGAGGGAAGAAGAAAGGAAGGACATAAAATAAAAATCAATATAGCATTTTTAAAAAGGCAAAATCAAGATTATTTTAGCTCTGCACTTAGAAACCAGTTAAAAGAATAAATTCTGAGTTAGGAAATCATATGTTATCACTGGCATTTACAATCTTAACCTACTATTAGCATTTGACCTCCTCTGAATCCAGTAAGATCTGGAGGAGATCCCTCAGAAGGACCCACCACCAAGCGAAAGCTATCTTCAGGGACACTTCTTAATCATGGTCCCCCTTCTTTGGAACAGCACACACCTGGAAATGCAGATCAGATAAAGCATCCTCAGCATCTGGCTGGTCGGATTCTTCATCCAACAAATGGAGCTCATCATTTGCCTCGGTTAAGGGTTCTATTATTAAACTGCTCTTAGTTTTAGGAAATTTGAACATTAACTAGAACCTTTTTCTCCTTAGCCAAAAAAACCCCCTTTGTTCCAAGTTCTGTACAGTACAATACTTCTGGGATAGCATTTAGTTCTTTTTGTGTGTGATACCTGTCCAGGTATCTGAAGAACACTATCATATAAGCCATTTCGTTCACACCACATCACATAACAGTAAACCATAATTTCACTCATTATGGAAATTGAATGAATTAGCCCTGCAGGTGGTCGGGACATGGGGCAGAAGGATGAAAAAAGTTCAATGTGAATGCAAAAAACAGAGGGTAGAATTTTAAACTTAGAACCTGTCCTGGATTTTCTTTTCTGAATGGCTGATCTTGGTTCCCCAGAGTGAAAATACCTCAGGCCGATGGTGCAGGTGCAGGGCAGAGGGGTGAAAAAAAGTTCAACCTGAATACAAAAATGTAGGGGGGAATGAGATTCAGGATGGAATTTTATGCTTACAACTGTTTTTGCATTGACTTTTCTAGAACAAACCATTTTGGGTCCATGGGGAAAAAATTCCTGATGCTGACAGTAGGGGCACGGACTGGGAGGGTGAAAAAAAAATTCAACCTGAATGGAAAAACAGAGGGTGGGATGAGATTCAGGTTGGAATTGTATACTTAGAAATGGTTCTGGATTGTCTTTTCCAGAACAGCCAATTTTGGGTCCCCAGGGAGAAAATTACTGATGCTGGCGGTAGGGGCATGAGGCAGAGAGGGTGAAAAAAATATAAACCTGAATGCAGAAACAGTTGGAGGGATAAGATTCATAAGAATTTTATGCTTAGAAATGGTTCTGGATAGATTTTTCTGAAATGGCCTATTTTTGGTCACTGGGGAGATGTGATGGACTGGAATGGTGGGAGGGGCGTAAAGAATGTGCTCTCATCTCCAGAGGAGCGAGGAAGAGATAAGCGGAGGAGACTGGCACCTCCCTAAGAAATTCCATCGCCTGGGAACTGGTTTCATTCTGGGAAGATTCTTGTTAAGGGGTTGTAGTTAATAAACCTTGCTGGATTTGATGTCGGGCCTAGCCCAAGGAACTCCAGGAGACCATGTAGAATCAATCCAGCAAGGT